TTATTATTATTATTATAACATTATTATTATTATTTTTGAATCTTGTGTGATCACATGTAAAAAATACATATATTTTTAGTGTGTGATCGTATGTTCACAGAGGCCTGATTATCTGATACATTTTTTTGTAATAAATAAATGAGCTTATACTATCCCTGATCCAGAAATACAATGTATACTTTCCCCAAATTATTATTATTAAATATTTGACCCTCTCTCAGTCAACTCAATTCTTTCATACATGACGTGTTGATGATCACAGACAGTAAAAACAGAGAACTTTTACAGTTAATTCAAAGCTCTTGTTAAAGATTGTTTAAGGATAATTGTCCTCAATAGTTAAATAAATCCAAATACTCACAGCTTAAGTACAAACACTGTTTGCTTTGTTAATGATAATGCCATATGTGCTTTATTTATATTATAATTACGCTATGTATGACACAATGATTTACTGCGTCATCAATCTGTCAAGGTAGATGTTTATACAAAGAACAACTTCCGACTATCACTATCAAAATAAAAGTTTTGCACTTTGACCACAGGGGGGCAGTGTGTACTCACGGTTATACTTTTATCAACTCTGTTAAGAATAACCTCCTCAAGCTAGAAACAAGAACAAGACTATCGAGGAAGAGGAATACATCATTTCATACTTTTACCTCAAATTAATGGAGGTTGAGGCATTTTATCTCCCTCTTGATCAACAAAGTTTCTGCCGCTAATTCTAAACATCTATGCAAAGCTCACAGGAAAGTTTGTGTCCTCCTGAACAATTCACCAAAACTAGGAAGCCGTTGTTCATGCTGATTAATTAACTTTACCGAATTATAACAAAAGACTTTAATCTTTTCTTCTATCAAACAGTGAAAGTTTGTAAAGGAACATTATCACATCGCCTTACAGCTCCCTCTTGTTAACGCTAGCTGCACTTTATGAAGGTAATGTTTGACGGAGTGAACAACACAACGCTTTAATCTATGGCCAATTAAGTTATAAAATATCTGTTGTCCAAGATAAAAATGTATTTAATGTTCATTTGAATCAACATCATGTATTCTGTCCGTGTAGCTGTTTTTAAATGTGTTTCTTGTTCTACATTGGCGTATTCAGTATCGTGCGCCATCTAGTGGCCTCAATGAAGAACTACACCCGCAGAGTCAAGTTAGATACACGTAGCGAAGAGATACTTCCGTTAAACCCTTTCAAAATAAACCTTGTATTAAAACGGAGGGATATTCCATCCTGTTCATACTGTGACTGTAATCTATGGTCAGTTTGATGAATAAAATGACAAAGCATTGTAATAGATGATTCCCTCCTCGCCTCCTTAGCTTTTAGTTAAACTCTGCTGGGCTCGTCATCAACCGGAACCGGAACACGTAACATTTTTCATCACTGGGCGCCATCTAGTGGACAACCCGAAAGCTACAACAACATAAGGGGGGAAACATGATGGGAGTATGACGGCTGCCACACGGCTGATATCAAGGTTGACGCTGGTCACTGGTAAATATATGTTGTAAGATACATGGTGTTGTGTGAAGTGAGACGTTTAAGGACATGCCCTTTTCCCTTTTCAAGATGTTGCGTTCAAAGCCGTGTGTTTTCTGCAATCTTCTTCAATTCACCAAATCAAAGCAGCTACCTACTGCAAGTAGCTTCTGATATCAAAAAGTTTGATCTCCAAAGTAAGCTGACAATGAATTCATTATTTTAGTGTAACCGTGATTCTATCAGTGATTTCTAAATCAGTACCTCGAGCAGATCGGACTGAATTAAGTTTGATGACTTGAAATGAGAGTGAAGGTGAAAGTGTAGCTGTCATTCTGGCTGTGTGTATGCTATCAATAAGACCTGCAACCATTTCAGAATGAAATGATCTGCCGTTGAATTGTGAAAATACTGAAAAAGGAAACATGTTTAAATGCCTCAGAGTTTAAATCTTTAAATGTCTGGTTTTGTCCGACTTAAGGTTCAAAACTGTAAAAAATGCAATACAGTGTGGATACAGTGAGTGACTGAAAGGATACATGTATTATGAGAATTGTGGCTTATTAATTGTCTTCTTTGACTGATGGAATAAACATTAAAGCTGTATTATGAATGATGAAGCATCACTTGTCCTCTTACATTTTCACATAGAAAAGTGGACTCAAGGTTTTTGAAGACAGAAGAAAGAAAGAAATGTGATTGGGCGCAGATGATTTGTGAATAACAATTGGTCATGTAGCCCTGAACTGTTGGGCTAATCAAACTGAAAATCAATCACATCAAGTCAGCTTCCTGTCCTGTGTGTTTTCTTGTCGTCCTTGATTGATATTTGTTTTTTCAGATACTTCCAGAGTGGATCTTCTGTCACACTCAGTCTTTCCTCTGCAGCGTTGTGTTTAAAACATTCTGTCACTCTGGTAACTTCATGCTACTCTTTTCCCTCCCAGGAGGAGGCAGTGGGATCGGACGGGCGGTATGTCAGCGTTTGGCCTCTGAGGGCGCCTCCGTGGTGGTGGCAGACATCAGCGAGGAGTCTGCCAACGAGACCATGGTGGGTCTGCAGAATGAGCTCAGAGGACAGGGTCACATGGCGGCTGTGGTGGATGTGTCATCAAAAGAGAGCGTGAAGAAGCTGGTCACCAGAATACAGGTGTGATACAGACAGGAAGACAAGCCAACACAACATGTGTTTACATTTCCATCATAATCAGCAACCTTTCTGTAGAAAAAGGTACTTTTCTCTCTGTGTGTTTTCATGCTGGAGGGGCTATTCCACGTGTTGTTTTTCTCTCCTTGTAAGTTATTGTTCTGTTCCTCTACACACTCATTACTTCCAGCCTCCCTCAGTGTGTGTGAACGCAGCAGGCATCACGCAGGACCACTTCCTGCTCAACATGGAGGAGGATCACTTTGACAGAGTCATCCAGGTCAACCTGAAGGTATGAAGCAAGTTCAGCGTGTAATCGAGTCTATCAGGTTAACGTCAGAGGATGACATCACAATCTAATAACTAGGGATGTGCCCGTTAGTCCACTTAAAGGTTGGAAGTCATCACCCTCACTAGTCGGCACCAGAATTACAAGTTACAAATGATTCATATTTTTAGATGTTGGCCCTCGATGCCGGTTCATTTGTGCTCAAATTGCAGCACTTCTTAAAGCACTCTTCTTCCATCACTGCTGTTGAGACATAACGTGGGTCGACTTTGTGAGAAGAATCAGAAAGAAAGAAATCAGTCTCTGTTGTCTTCAACAGGAAACAACCGAAGATTCAAGTTTCTCGTTGTTGCACTTGAAGAAAAGAATTCATAAAATGATTCTCTCACAAAACTTCTAAAAAACTGCACGAGTGAACGCAAACAGACACATTTCTACTCCGACTTTATCTGGAATTCTTTAGCCGGCAGCCCCCTGATCATTTTTCTGCATGAAGTCGGGTTAGCTGATGTGAGAACGCAGCAGGAAGTATTCAGGTAAATTCACTGTGAGGGAGCAAGAGGGGGGTGGTAACGTTTCTACCTCAGGACCCGTGCACAACCAGAGACTGTATGACCGCGATATGTGTGATCTCTGTGCACGTTATTAAACCGCTGCCTTAAGTTTTCTGTCCTCCAGTATGTACAAAAAAACTGTCATCATAGAGTTGGACTCTGTTGCTCTGTCCACCACCTCTGACTGCCTGAAAATAATGAAGACTTTCAGTAGTGCATGAGTGAAAATGTCTTTATTGAGGCTGAAGAACGTTTAGGATTGTTGTGTTTTGTCCACAGAGCTGAATGATTTTTGTTATTATTTCAAACACTCTTTTCTCTGGTGCTGATTTACTGTGAAGAGATGAACTCACTCCTGCTCCTGCGTCTCTTCCAGGGCTCCTTCTTGATCACTCAGGCTGTGGCTCAGGCTCTGGTGGCCTGTGGAGCACCCAAAGGATCCATCATCACCGTGGGCAGCATCGTAGGAAAGGTGAGAGAGCTGCAGAGAGACGCTTTCTAGACGACAGTTTCACTTCTCTGTTGAATCTTTTAAGGTTTCTTTTCAAATGTATGAACATAAGTGTGTAAGGACCTGGTGTGTGAATGTGATCACTTACTTGTGATGGACTCTTTACTCAGCAGCCTCTACCATCAGTGTGTGAATGTGTAGGTGTGACACGTGTTGTAAAAGCCCTTTGAGTCGTCAGAAGACTAGAAAAGAAATATACAAGCTCAAGTCCATTTACCATTTATCCTGAAGTTCATGTGGCAGCGTAATGATTTCTCTTTATTTATTGAACAGTGATCATCCGTCCATCCATCCACCTTGTGCTCGTAGCCAATAAAGGGTTAAATGGTTCTTGGATCCATGTGTTTGAATGTTCACACCAGCTGGAGGTTCACTGGTTCAGCATTTTAAAGACATTCACTCACACTCATTACTTTTAGTGATCCTTTTTTACGACTTCTTTGATCGAATGTCGCCTCCACAAACTCTGAATTATTAATCAGTCGTCTTTAAATCGTCTACAAAAGGTCGGAGAAATGCACGGATTGAAAACAAGCTGGTGAGGATGGAAACAATCAAAACACCAAACATGACAGGAACCTCAAACATGTTCACACAACCACACAGGGTTAGAAACAAACACACACCTGAATCCTGATTCTCTGCACCTGTTCACCTGTCACTCCCCTTTCTAGCTGCGTGTGGCTGATTACCCATGATGCCCAGGTGCAAAGGTGACGTAGCAGCAGCAGCAATAATAACCAAACTCAGCACACACACTATAGCACACATCAAACTGGCTCCAACAAATGTTTTTATATCATCACAATGTAGATGTTACTGAACTGAGCGGCTAATTTAAATATCTTTGTTCAGACGTTTCAGAACATGTGAATAATCCGTCTATAAGATCAACAAAGTAAAGATCATAAAGTTTATTGGAATCAAACTAAATGTTCCCACAATGGTAGCTACAGCTGTGTAAGTGTTTCCATGAATGTTGAAGTGAAGAAACACACAGACATTTGGAGTGTGAGGGACTTTATTGAACAGATCATTTACAGTACAAAGGTATGAAACAGCAGCTCAACACCACTAGTTAACTTAACCCAACACAGGAAGTGATTCTGAGAATTCATCTTCCACTTCCATTCACAAAACTCAGAGAGAAAACATCCCTCGTTCCTGAACACGAGCAGGAATTATATACAAGATTTCAACTGGATAGCTGAGACGCCTCCCACAAACAGTTTAGGATCTCTGATCAAAATAAAACAATAATTAGAGCTGTCAGCATTAACGAGTTCATCACGATTAATCTCATCTTATTTTGTCCCTTCAGGCTCTCCGTAGATAGTGGTCCTCAGTGTCTCCCTGTAGTCTCACTGATGTAAAAGAAGAACACTGCTGCATCTTTGAATGTCTCATTTCACTTTAACAAACTCTCAGACAGTAATATCCACCTGATGACATCACACATTGACCTGATGACATCACACATTGACCTCATGACATCACACATTGACCTTATGACATCACACATTGACCTTTGTCACCGTTCCTTTGAGCTGTTTGACCTCACTTTGGGATCCATAACCACTTCCTGTTTCTGTGTTTTAGTTCATGTCCTAACCTTCCATCTACAGGAAGCTCCTTACTCTATTTCAAAATAAAAGCAGGGCTAAATTCAAACAGCAGGTAAAGTACTCTCAGCTTAAGACAGTACAAATGTTTCAAAATAAAAGCCCAACAATTTATTTCAAACATGCAAATTTTTAAATTTAGAAATTAATGTGATTAAAAATTGTCATCGTTTGACATCTCTAATAAAAATGTTTCAAAATAAATCAAGAGGAATATTATGAAAAAAAAAAAAAACATTCTCCTTATCTGTTAAAAAAACTCAGAGACAAGAATTATTATTTGCTTTGGTTTGTTAGTAATAAAAACAAAATGTATACAAAATGTACAAGCAGACTATTTACACAACTGGAAGATGAATCTTGAACTGATGATTTTATTTCACGTGTGTGATCATAGGGAGGCCTTTTAAAGACGTGGAAGGAACCAGATTGAATTATTATCTGTGTTTGGTACAAATTTAAGACAGTTCACCACTGAGATGAAACTCCACTCGTCTGTTTTTATTCTGGCTCATCTTGCAGAGAGTTACGGTGACTGCAGTGTGAGAGAGGTGGACTCCAGTAACACACACAGACGACCTTCACTCTGATTGTTCCTGAGCAAAATGTTTCAAGAAACCTGCAGAGATGAAGACGGTCAAACCGAACAATCATTTAACACATCAGTGTTTGGAGAGATCAGCTCTACAAAGCTACATATTTACACTGATTTCAACCTCACACAAGTTTAACAAAGAAGCTTCTTTAACAAGGCGTTTAAAACGGCGTTTTTAACAGTGAGAATGGTCCACGTCCCGTAGAGAGAAACTCACAGGGTGCAGGGTGGTGTGTTCATCATGTAGGCTCTGGATTCAGTTCTCAGCGAGCTCAGAGCTGTTTTCAGGAGACGTTTCACATGAGGCTGAAATACAAAAACAAAGACGGGTCGTTTTAGTTCTCACGTAGGTCAGAAAGCCAGAAAATCATTTCTTCCCCTTTTCTAGTAACTTAACTCCAGGATTTAAACCTTCAACTGACACATGTATCTCGACTTAAGCACACAGCTCACTTTGTCTCGTGTACTAAAATTAAATAAATAAATAAAAACATCAAACAAACAATATTAAATTCATCTCTCTTTCTTAGGGGGGTTTTACATCAGGGTCCCAGGCCCGGATCTAAGTCCAGATCCGAGTACACTGGACCCTAAAGTCCGGTTCATTTGATCAGTGTGAACACAAACATACCGTACTCGTACTGTACTCAGCTACCGTGCCCGAGTCCGCTTGGTCCGTGTGAGATGTGAACACAACCGTGCTCAAGGAAGTGGACCGCGATACACAGAACAATGTTACTAATGTGGGGACCATCGGGGGAGAGGGGAGGGGAGGATAATCCTGCTCGGGTACTGTACAAAACAATCATGCCTGATGTGAAAACGCCCTTAAAAGTCATAAAATACGACACAGCTGGAAAACTTCCTTACTGTTTGAAACAGATTTTGATACAACAGGTATTAAAGTCTTAAAGGTGCAATATGTAGATTTGGTACTGAAAGTTGAAAGTTGGAGAAGTGAAACAATTCTCTGTTATATTTCCTGAACTGAATACACAAACTTTACTCAAAAGAAAAATGGGTCCCTGGAACTCTGTTTGGAGCTAAAAAGCTACCAGGAGAGTTACAGTGTCACTGTTGAAGCCCCCCACCATAACTTCTCTCAGAGCATTTTATCTTCAAACATTGTTCCTCTGAGGACAGTTTGTGTATAGAGTTATGAACATATACCACAGAATCTGTACATTTCTTCAACTTCCACATTTCTCTACCAAATCTACAAAGTGCACCTTTAATAAACTCAAAGAATAACATTTAAAAACTTAAAACACCAAAAAGAACAAAGTTTGTGTCTCTTACATTTTCTGCCTCTGTATTTCTTGTATCCAATGACAGCGAGGCCGAGAAGAACGAGTGCAGCGATGATGGCGATGATGGCGATGATGGGATGACGGTGTTCATGGGATTCACTGTTGAGCACAAATCAACAAACCACAGTTACAACCTGTGCAGATGAAGCAGGTTAGAGGAGGAGAACATGTGCCAAGCAGACAATCATCATCCTGTAAATAAACACTGTTTGTCCTGCTGCTCTTCATTTGAATCTCCACTTGTCTGTAAATAAATCCTGTATCTATGTTTGATTCATCTTCCAGTCGTGTTGTCGTCCTTTATCTGAATGCTGATTTCTTTATATGTTGATGTTTCGCTCTGAGAGATTTTGACAAACGGATTCAAACTCATTTTGACTGAACGAGGAAAAGAAAACTCACCGTGAATGATTTACTGACAGATATATTTATACATCCAGTAATTCATCAACTTGATCTTCTCTTCAACTAAAGGAAGAATGAGTGACTTTTTGATCCAGTAGATGTCGCCCTTGAGCAAACCAAAACAAACTGCTGTTTGGCCACGCCTCCTCCACACTCAGAGACATTCACACAGGATAGACTGGATTTCTGATATATTTATGTGTAACATGTCACACATTCATCCTTTAAAACTTTAACTTTGAGAAGTCAACACAGTGCCTTTAATCTCTCAAAATAAACATGTTTGACTTTTCTTCAACAACAGCACTCTAACTGTGTTTGATTCAATCGTTTTCTTGATGGATTTAAAAACTGAAAACACTAAAAAATAAAATCTAAAGAGAAACTGAAATGAAATGATGTGGCTGTAAATGAAAAAGAGATGCTAACATGTGAATCATGATTTTTCTCCCTGAGATCTGAGATCACGATTCTCTCACATGATTCTTTTTTTTTTTTTTTCAACTTTTAATTGAAAACTGCATCTTGGGGTCTCCCCTCAGAAAAATGTTAGCATCAGACATTTCTTTTCCTGCATTCTGATCATTATTTATGCTCCACTTTGGACCTTTTCTGCACAGCTTTATGATTATGTTTTAATCTTTTGGTCCTTTTTTGTGTCTTTTTCAAATCTCTTTCAGTGTTCATCAGACACATGTTGACACAATGATGAGTGCTTTCATTTGAATACTTTAATAAACATGTGGACTGGAGAGTTGAAGTAAATCTGCACTATTCCAGCCCTGCAGCTCTCTCTCTCTCTCTCTCTCTCTCTCTCTCATTAATCCATTTAAAACTGTTACAGTCAAATCCTCTCTTTCATCACTTCTCATCGAGGTCTTACCGTAGTTGGTCTTGATCTCTCGTTTGTCCAGTTTGGTGACGATGTCCTCCTTCACACCAGAGAGATGAAACACACAGTCGTACTTCCCCCAGTCATCAGAGGGCAGTTGAAGGTCAGCGCTGATCTGGAAGGAGCCGTCGTGGTTGGGGAGGATCTCTCCCTTGTCCACGTCCTCGTGAAGCTCCTCTCCATCTTTCCTCCAGAACATCATGGCTCTGTTGGGGTAGAAACCTGTAGCGTGGCAGGTGACCCGAGAGGAGGGAGTCTTCTGGAGGAGAGACACTGTGGGGAGGTCTGGAGGACAAACAGGAAGACAGATTAGAGTTTCTTTATCAGGATTTACTCTTAAATACTGTTACAACTCATGTTTGATGACACTTTTTAAATGTACTGGGAAAAAAAGGGACTTTAAAATCCAGTGAGTCAACAATGAAAATCAACCTTATTAAAGTATAATTCAAAGAAGAGAGGGTCAGAGGGGAAGAAACAGAAGAAGAGAGGTGAGGGGGGTTCAGATGGATTGATAAAGAAGAAGAAGAGGAGAGAGAGAAAGTACAATAAAAACACAGAGAAACTTTGAGAGAGAGCGATGAGCAGCAGAGAGAAAGAGATCTAACATGAAGGGAAAGGTAAGGGGAAGCTTAAAGATGAAGACAGAGCATGTGTGATAGAAACATGTGTGAAATATTTATTGTTCAATTACAAGATAAACAAGAAAAGAAGAAGATGAACATTGTCAGAATTCAACTCCATCAGGTCATTTGATCCTACCTGTTCTCATCAGAGAGCTCCTCCCATAGTTCACAAACTTCTTGAGCAAGTCAAGACACTCATTGTTGAAGTAGTACTTAAGATACTCTAACTCAGCTTTGTTATTATCCCACTCCTGTTTGATGAAGACAGCCTGTTGTTGTGGAGCGACCCACGTCCATGTCTTCAGGTCCAGAGCTATGAAGTCTTCTCCATCATAACCAAACTGAAAATAACCATTAACATCTCCAGTCTCATCATCCCACTCACAGCCTTCCATCTTCTGGTAAATGTGAACACCTGAGAGAGAGAGAGAGGGAGAGAGAGAGAGAGAAGAGAGAGAGAGAGAGAGGGAGAGAGAGAGAGAGAGAGCGAGAAAGGGAGAGAGAGAGAGAGAGGGAAAGAGAGAGAGAGAGGGAGAGAGACAGAGGGAGAGAGACAGAGAGACAGAGAGAGAGAGAGAGAGAAAGAGAGAGAGAGAGAGCGAGAAAGGAGAGAGAGAGAGAGAGACAGAGAGAGAGAGAGAGAAAGAGAGAGAGAGAGAGAGGGAGAGAGACAGAGGGAGAGAGACAGAGAGAGAGAGAGAGAGAGAGAGAGAGAGGTATAGTTTAAATCCTTTATTATTACATCAGAGACACACTGAGTCTCTCTCTCTCTCTGAGTTGTAGTCCTGACTAGCAGACTCAGATTAAACTGGTCCTGGACTGAACGTGGACTCTCTGTGGATCAGTCCAACATTTCGCTCGTCCTGTGAGAAACCACACACTCGACTGTCCCGAGCTGTTCTCCAAGTTTCCTCTGAAGGAGAGTCTCAGTCCAGGATCAGTCTGTAGACTCCTCCTGCTCGGCCCTCACAGAGTTCAGCAGTGTGTTACTACAGCTGCTCACAATAAGGCAGAGACCACCAGGACCAGTATGGAGACTGGGAGACAGTCTGTGCGTCCTGATTGCTTCATCCATCTGTCAATCATTCAACACTAACAACAGCTGTTTCCAGCTGCAGATGTTTGTTTGATGCTGCCTGAGAGGACGAGCCAACACTGAGGTCAGAACAGTGGAGATCATCTCATCTAATGTGTACTTGGACTTTTTATGAAGAGCTCAGAATAAAGATTCATGATCACATTATTTGGATTGATTCATGAACCAACCACTTCTTTTGAAATGTCAACAAAGAATAAGGTGAACTTTTCAAACAGCTCCAGAATAACACTGAACGCTGTTTCATTTACAATCATATCAAACTGATCAAAGCAGCTAATTGTCATATTTGACAAACTGGAAAAAACATTTTGGACCTTTTGGATTCAAGAGACTGAAATAATGAGTCCATGATCAAAATGATTGTCCCTTCATTTTCTGTGGATCATCTCATCAATGAATGGACTGAACTGTTCAGCCTGATGAGTGAATCATGGCGTACAAACACTGTTCAAGTTTCATTCATCTCATTTAATCTAGATTTATAATTCACATGTAGAATCTGGGATGGAACCTGAACATCAGTACGGTCCAGTTCATACAATCCAATATGTTTCATACCACATATTTAGAGCGTTAACTCATTATTCTTGTTATTATTGATGATGTAACGGCTTTTTTAAAATCAATCAATAAATGTTTGAATCTGTTAAATGTCAATAAAAAGTCAAACAAGTCCATCACAACTTCTCAGAGGCTGAGATTAAATCTTTAAATGACTTCTTTAGTCTGAGCGACACTGAGCAGAAAGTCATTCATTTAAAGAGTTTATTATGAGACAGACACACCGTCATCACATTCATCTAAATGAATCTAATCTAAATGAATCTAATCTAAATGAATCTAATCTAAATGAATCTAATCTAAATGAATATAATCTAAATGAATCTAATCTAAATGAATGTAATCTAAATGAATATAATCTAAATGAATCTAATCTAAATGAATCTAATCTAAATGAATCTAATCTAAATGAATCTAATCTAAATGAATATAATCTAAATGAATATAATCTAAATGAATCTAATCTAAATGAATCTAATCTAAATGAATGTAATCTAAATGAATATAATCTAAATGAATCTAATCTAAATGAATCTAACTAAATGAACTAATCTAAATGATATAATCTAAATGAATCTAATCTAAATGAATGTAATCTAAATGAATATAATCTAAATGAATATTAATCTGTAGTTGTTCTTGTTCATATTTCGGACACAGGGAGGTCAGTACAGTAGAGTTGTGCTGTTTGACCTTTGACCCCTCTGATCTGATGGTCATATTTATCATGGCGTCCTGTCAGTCAGCTTCATGAAAACATGCTGCTCCTCCTCTCATGTGAGGACCCAGCAGAAGCAGCCTGTGTCCCATTTGGGGTCCTGCTCCTCAGTTTGAGAAACCAGGCAGTAATGTTCCTCTATCAGCTGTGTGTTGTTGGTTTGTTGTGATGAACAGGTTTGTTTTTCTAAAAGGAGAGTTCACATGTGGGCAGCTCAGTAGAGTTCTTGTGATGTAATCTAGTGGAGATCAAGTGTTAATAATGTCTGTAGATTATTATGGGATGGACAGAAACACTGAATCAGAGCAGTACAGCAGCATCCAGGAGTCTGAGTCTCTGAGATGTTTCTGTTGAGTCTGACTGTTTGTTTCAGACGAGGTGTGAACAGTTACATGTGTGTGTGTGTGTGTGTGTGTGTGTGTGTGTGTGTGTGTGTGTGTGTGTGTGTGTGTGTGTGTGTGTGTGTGTGTGTGTGTGTTAACATCTGTTCACTAAAATTCAGGATCAAATTATAAACAATCTTTTTTCAGTATAAATTGAATCATAAACAAACCTCCAGTTTGGTTGAAGCGCCGCTTAAAGTGTCAAGGTGACTTTGAACTGCTGGTTACCACAGCTCTCTGTTGAGCCTCTCCAGTAAGTCAGCTTTGTCTTCTGTGACTTTCTTCATCCAGTCCTGTTTGGTTCTACTCTCTTGATGTTACTGTCGTAGTATCTGTTCTGAAAATCATCAACCATCCCAACAATCACAAACTCTGGGAAGTTTGTGACTTCAGAAGACGCCGTGAGAAATACTTCACAGAGTGCATCTCTGTAAGGACAAAATGTTTTCATCAGTTTAATCTGAAACTTTTTGCATCATTGAACAAAAGTTATTATCCAGCACACAGAATCAAAAAACACTTCCAGTACATTCAACCAAACCTGATCATCTCTCTGCAGTCATTAAATACTCCAATTAATTTAGAGATGAAAAGAAAAAGTTCTCCTGGAACTCTTATTCTGATATTTCTGATTCAAGTGTTAGAAAATGTTTTTATACTGAAATTATTTATTCAACAAGTCAAATATTCAAGTGATGCAGTCATGCCCTGACTTTCATTGACAGATATGTTTCATTAAGTGGATTTTTTATTGACTTCTTGACATCTCATGACTAGTCCTCACGTAGGCGGGTTTTATTATTTGAGTTTTGAAAGGACAGTGTTGGAGGACAGCAACAAAGAAAAACTATTGAACAGTATATGGAGCACAGTTTAAGAAGCTGTGTAGACTGAGTGGAGCTGCACAATCAGCCAGCGCAGAAAAACTCAATTAGAAAAAACTCAACTAAAAAACTTCAACTAAATGACAGATCATTTCTGAATCCTGCATGTTGTCTGCTTTCTGAATGCACGTCGATCATTGTTCTGTTTTTAATCTGCTCTTTAGAAAATATGCACTGCTCAGAACAAAAAGCTTTTAGATAAATCTGTGCAGGAATAAATGTAACCACTTTGAATAAAGTCTACAAACTTTGTAGTCTTATTAATGCTGAATTGTTGAGGCTGCTGTGGATGTTTTTTTGACTTTCACAGATTAAAACCATTTATTTCTTTTTGTGTGGGAAACACAAACTGAGCTGTGACGTTTCAGTTTGAGAATAAAGTCGTGACTGCCCTCTGGTGGACAAACTCTGTAATGCAGACTCTGTTTCTAAATGATGTTCAAGCTGCTTCACTGTTTTCTGTCACTTATCGGCCAACATAAGCACAGAAAACTAAATATGTGCAATAAGCTCACATCAGCAGATATGTGTTTCTAGATCCACTAAACAGTCTGATGTTTGACTTCAATGAAATGTTGGAGCTTCAGGGTTTATGTGATCTCAACTAAACAACAAACAAACATGTAAAGATGAAGATCATCTGTGGAATAGCTTTGAGCTTATTCATATTTCATATACAAATATTCAGAGGTAAAACAATAAACCGAGATTAACTTCATTTTGAGGGTCAGGAGGTTGATTATGTTTCTGATTCTTTGAGCACATATTTGAGTTTGATCCTCACAAAATGAACTTTAATGACTGTGACACTCTGATTATATGTTAATTATCACAATTCATTCAAGTGAAATAAGTATTTATACCACATTAATTATACTACATTAATAACAAAACACTTTTTCTAACATTAAAGTGTCATGAAGGACTTAAAGAGTCCATTTAAATGCTCTGTTAATGGTTTTAGAGGTGAAACACTTTGAAGGCATTTAGTTCCTTTTTCTTTCTGAATCAGAGTCTATCTGCTGTGTTCACTGTAGTTATGCTGCTATTTTAACATTCATGGTCCTGTTCATATGAACCGGGCCTTCATCATTTCTCGGCTTGTCTTTTGGAAAAGATAACTAGCAGACACTTTTTATAGCCTTTCTCACAACAACACTTTTCTTGTAAGTATCAGGGTGTGAGGACGTGAACAAACAGGATTTACTAACGTCAAATTAAATGTTCACTTTTCACATTTCAACAAGCTGCTTCAGTCCTGAGAACAAACATCAAATGAAGCTTTCATTTCTACCAACAGTTTATGGGTGTTTCTTCAACTAGGTGCACTTTTGGCCCTGTGTACTTGTAGAAAAAACTAAATCACACTTATCAAAGTCCCATAAGATTATCTAATTTTCATAGTTTTAAGATACAAGAGTGGTTGAACTGCCATCACAACATCATTTGGTCATTCTTGACATATTATCTGACCCTTAATGAACTAATGTCATTTCTATCACATCTAAACAAACGACATTTTGTCTAAAAAATACGTGACACATGACACCCCTAAATAAATATATGACTATTTCAGAACTAGTTCTGCAATTTTATAACATTTTACAATTTTTATACATTTGTAAATTAAATTAATTAAATGTCACAAGGGGTCAAATGGCTTAACGCACATTAACCTCAATATGAAGTCTAATGTTGGATTCTGTAAAATGTGTTTTGAAATAAATAAATTATACAATTACATTTAGTAGAGTATCATCTAACAAATTGTGGAGAATTTTTTAATATATAATTAGAACTTTTGGAATATTTTCCAATAATGTGTGCAGTGATGGAAATGACAGGGTGTTGTGGAAATGACAATTTATGTACGTTGATGTAGAAAATCTTAATTTGAAAACAATAAACACGATTATCTGAAATACTTCTGTTGAAATGCAAAATGTGAGTTGATACACATAAATTAATCTGTAAACATACTTTTAATGCTATTTATTTGTACAGTTCATAATGTCAGTACAACAGCATAAATGTCATTTCCAGCAGTAGGAAATGTGACAGAAATAACGATGATGGAAATGACATTTTTACAGTATTTTGTGAAAAACTGCGAGCTAGCTTTACATTTTAGGGTCTACCCCATAAATGCTTACAAAATACAACTTAACTTAAAAAAATCTTTCCTCCTACAAACTTCCATGGAGGTACAGCGTGTTTGGAAATTATATACAATAAAAATAATATCTGTTCAAGCAACATTTACTTGTTCTTTCTTCAAAGGCAGCTCGTGAAACTGACAATAACCTCCATATTAGACATGTGCTCCATTGTCTCTGTTCACTTCCTGCCAAACTGCCAAAGCAAGAGCGGATATCTCACTTCACTATTGGGGGGGGGGGTTCAGCAGTGGACCAAACACTGTCAGGCAAGGGAGAAACCTGATCTTTAAAAACGTCTTTATTTAGCACAACTGTGGGATCCAGTGTTTGTAGTCAAAGAACCACCCTTATAAAGACATGCGACATTTCCCTCTTTCCATTAAATCGTCTTCAATGAATCTGAACTCACCTGCCGTCGTGTCGTGGAGGAATAATCCCACGAGAGACACAAACACCAGAGTCTTCATTGTGACCTGTGAAGTCTTCAGCTTCGTCCAACTTCAAACATTTATGTTTCTCATCAACTTCTTGAGAATCTGCGTGTTTCGAGCTCTGAGGGTGAAATGAGGTGAGGAGAAAAAAGATCGCTGACTTCCACCTCTGTCTCAGCCAATAGGAATTCAGCCTGAGCATCGACGACTCTAGTAACTCGGTCACATTGACTCAGACAGGTTCTGAATGAAAGGGGAAGTTAACTCCGCTTGTTTGAGCCCATGACAGAGCATTGGGAGACACGCAGGACTTTATTTATTTATCACAGTAGTGTTAAACCTTCAGATGATCAGATTATTTTTATATATTTGTTGGTTAATGTGAAGTTTTAAGAACAAGTGTATACATTTGTGAGAGTTCAAAGGTCAGATACAGGGATAATCTGGATTGTAGGTTGATTTGTTCTGTATGGCTGCTCTGGGATTTAATAAAAAGTCCTAATCCAGATATAAATATAGTTTAATATAAGTTATAGTGAGTTAATGTGGTGAGGTGCTCTCCTGTCCTGCAGTAACTCAATGTGCTCTGTGATTATCAGATATTTAAATACACGTGTGCACAATCATAACATTGAATAATGTTATTAAATCAGATGAAGGAGGACGTCTTATACCTTTTTGAAGTACTTATCATTTTCTTCTTTTATCACTTTCTGCATGTGTTGTGTATAGTCTGGACCTGCACAGAGGTTTCCTATCCCCCTGTTTGAGTTCCTCAGCTGAAGATGTATCAGTTTAAGCTGCGTCACGGTGCACACAGGAGCAGAACCAAACACAGCAGACTGTAAAGTTCAGAGTACAGAAACGGACAAAAGTGCAAAGTGATGAATAAGCGATGCAGTGTCGGAGGGAAGTTGTTTCTGTGGAACATTTGCACGTGGGAGGCGAGCTCTGGCACTTAAAACGGCTGAGACTCTGCACGAGAACACATTTCATGAAACATTTAAGAATACACACGACTCGTCTGAGGATAACAACACGGGGGTCAGAGGAAAAACTCTACAATAACAGATGAACAACAACTACACCAATGTAGAGGGAGTCCGACTGAAACCCTCCATCTCTCTCTTCAAAATACAAATAAACATCAGAGCTGGGATGGAGAGGTTGTGGATCAGTGCGGGGGGCACTTCACACATATTTTCTAAATTCAGCCAAAACATCTTTATTGTGGATTTCACACATGCACACAACTCCTGAAAGCTTCCTGAAACGATCACGTTGAGCTGTGTGAATGCAAACAGCTGAACTTACATTTCAACTTCATTCAGGAGTTTTTCCTGCCGGCCTCCAGGAAAAAATATCCTTCTGAAGTCAGAGTGAGCTGATGTGAGAATATCATGTGCTCTTAAAAGCTGTTTATGTGTGTGTGTGTGTGTGTGTGTGTGTGGGGGGGGAGCGGTGTAGTGTATATACTGTATGTCTTGCAACCCACTCACAACCACAGACTGGTGTGATCTCTGTGCACATAATTGAAACTGCTTCATTTTGTTTTCTCTGTTCACCAGTATCGTCTCTGTGCAGACTGACGGACATTTCCAGAAAATTTCTAGAAAATTTCCAGAAAATTTCAGGCAACCTGCCCCTGAAATCTTCGTTGTTTGTTCACGCATGCACTTCACAGCGGGAGACTCTCCGTGCAGGACGGGATGGAGGGAGAGTCTCAGGACGACG